TCATCGCCAACCTTTCTGTAAAAGATGTCGTTTTTACTTGAGAGTCTTCTTTCACCGTTTCTTCGGTGTTGCCTATTGCATCTTCCACGTTGTCTATTGGTGAGAATTCTATGGGTTTCGAGTTTGGTTCTTCTGCATTGGGCATTGGAGTTGACTCCGTCGCTATTTTCCTTGTTTCATCAACACTTTGATCAGGTGTCTCTAGATCAATCTCGATGGTGGGTTCTACTCGTTCCCCTTCCATGCCCTCTCTTGCTCTCTCCGTTGTACTCCTTGTGCTGACCATGTTAACTGAAAAGTTCTTCTTTGTTATCTTTGGGCCCATTGATGTTGTTTTGCGTAGCGACGAATTATACTTTGCTTCGGTAGGTCTTTTTTCAGCTACCGGTACCCTGCTCCGCCTCATTATTTCTATTTACAATTGCTCTTATTTACAATTTTACTATATACACAATCCTATTCTAAGAATAAAATCTTTCGAGAAAAAAAAATTTCTTAAAAAAAAAAAATATATATATACAACGTGGTGAAAACCTTGTTTCAGTTCTCTTTATTAACTTTTCGAGAAACTTTCCTTATTTGTGGTCCCAACCGTACCTGGTTCCAATTAGTCTTGTTCTATCTTAATTCTGTCTTTAAACACTTCTTGTAATTTTACTTCAATTTTTATACTGTCCCAAGACTTCCAATTGCCGTCCCTACTCTTCTTTGTACCATCCCAGGCTTCTTTCTCCTGTCCCAAGACTGTTCGGTACCGTCCCAGTACTTTCCGGCGGTGCCCCAAGACTCTTGTCCAAGACTACTGTCCCAAGGCTAGTGTCCCAAGACTACTGTCCCAAGACTAGTGTCCCAAGACTAGTGTCCCAAGACTAGTGTCCCAAAACTACTGTCCCAAGACCCTTGTCCCAAGACTCTTGTCCCAAGACCCTGTCCCAAGACCCTGTCCCAAGACCCTGTCCCAAGACCCTTGTCCCAAGACCCTGTCCCAAGACCTTGTCCCAAGACCCTGTCCCAAGACCTTGTCCCAAGACCCTGTCCCAAGACCTTGTCCCAAGACCCTGTCCCAAGACCCTTGTCCCAAGACCTTGTCCCAAGACCCCGTCCCAAGACCTTGTCCCAAGACCCCGTCCCAAGACCTTGTCCCAAGACCCTGTCCCAAGACCCTGTCCCAAGACCCTTGTCCCAAGACCTTGTCCCAAGACCTTGTCCCAAGACCCTGTCCCAAGACCCTTGTCCCAAGACCCTGTCCCAAGACCCTGTCCCAAGACCACTGTCCCAAGACTGTACTGTCCCAAGACTGTCCCCAGACTGTTCTGTCCTAAGACTTCTTCGGCACTGTCCCAAGACTGTTGACAAGTGTCTGGGTGGTGGGACTTCTTTCCTCTTCGTTATGGGGACTTGTTGATTCGCCGTACCTTGTACCACCACTCAAGCTCTAGTAAAATTTTCCCAAAATCCTCTCTTAAAAGCCAAATGCTGACCCCCATTTTTCTTATTTCTCTTTTTGGCTACCTCTATTTTAATGTTCCAAGTAACTTGAGACCAAAACCTGTGCGCAGGTATCTTGTGATCACCTGTTCGTACAAAATTTTAACACAAATCCTCACCAAAATGCAACAAAAATCTAAGCAAGAAAAAATAATAAAAACAGAAAGATGAGCCCACCTAAAATTTAAAGGTGACAAATGTCTACCTCCTATCTAAAAAAAATGTCTGGTACCTAATTGTCACGCGTTTCCTTCCCCCCTGCTAGCGATCTTATGGGATATTACAAAAACTGTCTATGTCCCTTCCCCCCTACCAATCCGACCAGGGTACCTTCCTTAACTCGGGTTCAAATTTCGATATCCACCTAATATTACCAACGCGTGTTAATGTCTAATGTAACTAAGTCAACGATGTCGACTAGTTGATTACTCTAATTTCCCCCTTTTTACAATTTACAACCGCCAACCTCTAACTTAACCAGCCCCCCTTCTAACCTCCCCCCTTTTTAGCCCCCCTTCTTAAGCCTAAAATTACCTTAAGCGCCGGGTGCTAAACCTCTCAAGAGAAAACCGTAGACCTGTCTCCAGGCCTGCTCAAGTAAAACCGTTCCTCAAAACCGGGGGATGTCGCTTATCCTATTTTACACTTATCTCCTATAATGTAATGTGGATTTTAACGATACCCGTTCTGCCCAACTTGAGAACTCGAGAATTGCCAAATCCTTCTTGGCTGCTTTCCCACTCGACTGGTCACCTGTTCCAGTCCAGTCTCCTATTGGTTCAGCTCAAGTGCTCCTGAACCACTTTCCCACTCGGCTGGTCACCTCTTCCAGTCAAGTCTCCTATTGGTTCAGCTCAAGTGCTCCTGAACCACTTTCCCACTCGGCTGGTCACCTCTTCCAGTCAAGTCTCCTTGTTGTCCAGCTAAGTTCCAAGCTATCTAAAAACCCTTGACAACGCCCCACACTCGGGCTCTTTATTGAGGTTACTGGGTTAAATTGCTAGGTTGATCGAAACGATCGAACTTGTAAAACAGTATGGGTATACTATTTAATTAATATAAAGGTTTGATCCAACTAATCTGGTGTCAAAGTCACTGTCTTTTTTCGTTTTATGGTTTTTGTTTCGCTTTTTTGTCTTTTTGCTCGTGTTTTTGTTCCCCTAGTTGCCCCCCTTTACTCGGTTAGCTAAACCTCGTTCGGAGAGCGTACCAGGAAGTTTTCTTGAGTTTTCTTAAAAAGCTATCACGGTACAACCGGAAGGTTTGCACGTTCCTGTCGAACCGTACCGCCGGTACTCTAGAATGGGCATTCAGCCCGAAGCTGTCTCAAGTGGGTTCGACTCCGTAGTCTTGATGTCGTAAACACCCAGGAGCGCCATAAAAACACTATGTAACATTCGTCTACTGCAGTCACACATGAGGCTTAAGAAAAATAGGCCCTATAACCACTGGCTCAAGGGTCAGGGACACTATCTCTTGTGTTTTTCTACCTCAAGAACGGTCGGAGCCAGTTCGGTTCGTTTGTGACATGAGACTACGACCCGTTACAGCTTAAAGGCTACTACTAAAATATCCCCCCACTCTAGAATTAGAAACGTCCCCATACTTAGGTCTCTAGATACCCAAAATACATGAACGCCGTTAAAAACCGGGTTGGAACAATCTGTTAAGTTACTTTTTATTAGACAGTGTAACTTTGATCCATTTCAGATGGATCAACCCAAAACTCGCCTTACCTCAACATAACAATCATAAAACACACTCTAGAAATTTAAATTAGTACTCACATTGTAGCACACTCAAGAAGGGGAAGTACTTCAGTCGGTAATTAACTCAAGAATTAAATAATGTAACTAAATGAGTTTTAATGTTTATCAGTTTCAATAACGAGGACAAGTCTTAACTCTAGGATATAGTTTCTCGTGAACCATTGGGACACTCAAGTTGTCCACCTTTCCGTCGAAGGTTCACTCTGGTCCAGCTCAAATAATCGTTCTCTCGGGAATACTCTGTCTTCTATTTCAGATGGGACAGCTCTACTCTTGTTCACTATGATGGAAATTGCGAATAGCAATTTCCTACCGATTTCTCTTGCAACTTTCCCGCGTTTTTCACTCGAACGTTCTGACTTCTCTCTTCTGATCTCCAGTTATCGCGAGAAAATCGTGCATGACAGGTTCCATTCGAAATTTAGAAAAATTAAATTTCACTCCAAAATCAAGTGTTTTATGCTTCTCTCAAGGTCAAACTTCCGAATATGACCGACTGGCACAGTTAAAAAGCTTTTCACGGTAATCCGGAAGGCTTCCGCGTTCCGAACTACCCTTCCGCTTCCGGCGGTTTAGGCCTATTAAGGGCATTAATTTGAGCATCCGCTCGGCGCGGAGTGCTCGTTAACGGTTCTGCCGGTCATGATGTTAAAAAAGAATAACACCCAGGAGCGCCATAAAAACATCTATGTAACATTCGCCCGGAAGATACATATCGACGGAAAACAAAGCTAGGTCCTAAGACAACTGGCCAACGTCTAAACAGAGCTTTACATGTTTTTCACCGTCTACCAAAGCCAGTTCTTTTGGTGGTCTTTCTAACATCGGGTCGACAAAAACGTTACTGTTCTCCGGCTTCGACCAGAACGCTCAAATTAACTTAATTACATGCAAAATCAGTGAGCTCATGGCTGGGTCTCAGTATCCCCACACTCCGAGATCACTCCTAAAATCAGGGCTACTACTACTTCTTGAATTATTATTGTTTGGTTCAGTAGATAAAAATCATCGTCTCCATCGAAGATGGATCAACCCTTTCCCCTAACTCCTAGCTTCTCATCCTAGGAAAATGAATTCAGATGTTAATCAAATTCAATTCAGGACATAACAGGGAAGCAAAAAGTTTATATAAAATGCTATGAGTTTCAGTCCCGAGACCCCTCCGGATTCTTGAATCCGGGGAAATAAGACCTCTATTTTCCTTCCGGAAGGCTGTCTTCTACCCTTCACCGTTGTTCGCAACGGCCTTGCAACTATTGTAGCGACACAATAGTTGCAACTCGGAACGGTCTCTGCTATTTCTGCTCGTCTCAAATTCCGATTCTAAGTTTTTCCGTTGTTATCGGCGCCGCAACTGTTGTTGTTGTGTTTCATTTCGGTTTTTCTGCCAAAATGGCCGTTTCTGACGTTTCTCAGAAACATGACGTCATACTTCGAAAATTTAAAAATTTGAAACACCAGAATATTCTAGCCTTCGCAGTTTGGCCAATCGTTCCAATAACACTGCTAATGCTTCAAAACTGCTAATTCGGAAGGTTAGCTGCTAAAATTTCGAATCTACATTTTCGTCCATTCTGGTCGAATGTCACAAATGGTGTTGTTCACCACGTCGTGCCACACAACCACTTTTTTCTCCTTCAGTGGACTGTCTTCCAGGAATCGTCGGAGGTTCTTTCTTTGGTTCAGCAAGTTGTTATTAACGAAATCATTATGAGATAGAATTTTGAAGGAAATCGTTTTTTAAGGTTTCGAATATGACTGATGAAACTTCTAAAATATCGCGTGTTTTACAACAGTGGTATCAATGTGACTACAGAAGCATCGCTGCTTCAAACTGGGAAATTAAAGTTGTTGATGGTTTTAAACATTTCATGAACAGATCTCAACTGGACGGTGATGGTTTGTACACGTGGAAGACAACAATTAAAGGAAAAGCCGCTTTTATTATTGTTACCTACCATTTTCCGAGTCTCCTGGGAATGGAGACAGTTAAGCTTTCTTCAGGTAAGTAGTTCATTTACTTCAGACGATATTTTTCAGCCGGATTGAGCAAAGGCTCTTCGTTTAGTTCAACTGGATTGTATCAGGAGTTCTGTGACCGAATCATTTGGGAAGGATGTAGAAGAGCAGTTTCTCGAAAAATTTGTAGATAAAGCGCTGATTGACTTTTTTCGTCCCCTCTATGAATCGAGAACGAGAAACGACGAGAGATCATTATTTGAGAAAGTTGAATCAACACTATCGGCGATGGAAAAAATTGGTAAGTTATGGTTGCGCCGAGTATTTATGTATAGGTTTGAAAATATCTGATGTATAATATAATTGAGGTTCTGCTAATCGAATTGGACTTATCATCTAACGCCAATTTCAGATGTTCTACAGCAGTTAATGGATATTCAGTCTTCAAACGAAAAGGAAATTCAACAACAGCGCAATAAACAAATCGCCAAAAAAGAGGAGCCGTTTACAAAGAATCAAACTGACTCCGTTCAGTTTACGAATAAAAATCCAGAAAACTATCCAGCTGAATTTCCAAGCTTGAGAGGAAGCGATCAAGAAGTATTGTCTCAGCCTGCCAAAAATAATCAGAATGCAGCTGCCAAAAAGCAAGTAGGTAGACAAAAAATTGAGAAATTGCATACAACAGGCAGCTGCCTGAGCAATTAAAAATAGAATCCAAAATTTTTGAGATTGTTTTTAAGCTCCGCGTAAATTTGACGACGCTTCAATGTCATTCTTCTGAGGGTTAACTTGGACAGTTGCATGAGTTCTCATCAATTAAAGATCACAATTCTCAACAGCCAAAAAGCTTTTGATCGATCTTATTTACATAGGACAGTCAATGGCAGGAAATATAATAAAAATAATTTACTAATTACAGAAATTTTTCATCATCAGTGAAAATTTAATTACTGATTTTTCTAATCTTGCCTCTGCAATATTCTTTTAACATGTGAAATAATCTTGGTCCTCAATCAGTTAGATTTTATTCACAACCTTGTAAAAGCAGTTATTACTACAGCAAGTGGTGTTGTGATTGATGGAAAGAAAAAACCAAACATTCAAAACTTGCAATTCAGAAATTCAGGTTTATATAAACATAGGAATCAACGAACTAAGGAAAAGTGTGTGCCTACTTCGCTCGAAGTTTCAAAAAAAACTGAGATTCAATGTCTTTAGTTTGTAGCTTGAGGTGTTTTTATGAGGCAGAGATGATTCTGTTTCATTCAAGTGAGATGATTCTGTTTCATTCAAATGCGATGATTCTGTTTCATGAAAACGCATCAACTGATACTTTTGACTGTGTAATCATCCGTATTGCTAGCGAATGAAAGAAGCTTCTAAAAACTTGTTCAATGCTTGCCGAACAAGTACGTCCTATTGAAAGCCTAAGGATATCCTCAATTTCATTCCTCTGAAAACTTCAACAAGGGGACTGCAATAAAAAACAAGAGAAGTTGGTTGCTGTGCAAGTTGCACCGAAAATTAATGAAAAAAGACGAAACATTTTTTCCCTCAGAATGTGAGTTTTTTCCGTGGTGTGTTGATTCGAACTAGACGAAACGTTAGAACATAAATAAGTTAGGCAGTATGTACAACAGTTGCATTGAAAAAAAATAATAATTATAAAATTTTAAATTAAAAAATTTTTTTTTTACGTTTGCGATTACAGGGTGGCCTCGGTATCAGTGCGGCCAGTGTTGACAAAGCCAATTCAGTACGAAGCGTGATCTGTCAGTGCCATATCATAAGCCAGTAAAGGAATGTCAGTGCATGAGCAGCTCTGAGATGAAGAAATTATTTAGGTTAAAAAAAATTGGGCCAATGAAAAAAGTTGGGTCGCTAAGCCAAAAAATGCTATTTTTTCAAAAAAATTCAGTGCCTGGGTTTTCTTTTATTTTCCTCAGCGCGAGTATCAATGCGTGCGCTTTCTCTGACGCTGTGGTCACCCTGGATTAGCAAGCGTTATCAAACCGGTCAATTGGTTCAAATAAAATCAAAAGTCAGACGGGAGTTCGCGCATGTGGCGAAGAGCTAACGCAAATAAAGACAAAAGACTTGTCTATAAAGACAAGGTCAATAGTCCGAATCTGGCCTGACCTGTTCTTTTTGTAAGCGGAAAATTGTCCGCTTATTGAAAAATCTTGGTCGGACTTCTGTTTGTCTGCTTTTTTGTCGGCTTAGTTGCCGCAGAAATGTTCGGTTTCTTTTCAGACTAGCAAGCTTGCGATGTTTAGTGTATTTGTACGAACCTTCTTTTTTTCTCACCTAACTCGCAAATAAATGGGTTCAATGAAGGTTCACTTATATGGAAATTTCACTGTAGCATTGGAAGTTGCACAGCATCTCGTCTCTGCTTTGTTTGTGGCTAGTGGTTGGCATTAACTAAGCGTCCGTGGTTAGAGCGTGAGACTCTCAATCTCTAGGTCGTAGGTTCAAATCCGAGACGTGGCTGAATTTGGGCTAATTCGAGGCTTATTTTATTTATTTTTTCGTTTTGCACTTTATAGAGGTGGTTTTTGTCGTGTTCTGGCTAGTGTCTGCGAAGCGCAGATTCGACTCCATGTTAGCATTTTGAAAGCTGTGATGGTGCAGAAAATTTTGTTTCAGGAGTTTTTGTCCTTCATGAAATGTTAATATTTTTTTGGTGAAAATATAACGATTTTTTGAAGTTTTTTACCCTTGTGATAAGGGTATTGCAATCGGGTTCTTTTTTCCGTAAACAATTTTGTCCACAGGAAGATCTCCAATTTCAAGATCTCCAGTTTTTGCAGGTTGCACTCTGAACTACATCAGCCGCTAGTCTCTCTGCTGGAAACTGCAACAGACAAAGTTTGAGCATGGTAGCATTTTGAATATCCGTCCTATTCGAAGTTTGCTTTTTAGGGTTGTAATTTTACCAACTTGTTTTTTTTTTTAATTTCCATTTTTTAGCTTTCTTCTTTTTTTTCTCGGTTAAAAAAAATTCGGCCTATAGTATTTCGGCTTATTAGATTCATATGGCATCCTTTAATCACCAAAAAAAATGTGTACGTGTGTGGCAAATTTTTATCAGTTTTTAAGTTTTTTACTTTCATTTTTGTTTTTTCTTTTTTCTCGGGTTGATAAATTTTGGCCTATTTAGTATTGGCTTATTGGCCTCATATTTAAAAAAGTTTTAATGTGTTTTGAGGGGAATGGGGGATAAAAACTTATATTAGTTTTTGAGTTTTTTGAATTTTTTCGACCGAAGGATTTCGACTTTTTTGACTTTTTTCGACCTCTCAGGTAATTTCGCCTTGTTCACAGCTTGGTAAATTTTCTTATTCTTTTTTTATTTGTTTTTGTCTCTGTGTGACTTATTGAATCTTTTGTTTTCATTAGTTTTGATGGGTTTCGACATTTCTGATTTTTTAATCAATTTTTTTTTCTGATTTAGTGGCTGTTTTGTATTGTATCGCAAGTGGTGCGAAGCTCGGCTTCGCCTCTGTGTTTCGGTTTTTGATTTGTCTTTTCACTTGCTGGTAATCGTAGTCATACATTTTTTATCGCTGAATTGATTTGAAATCCCAGACTTATTCTTAGCTCATTGTGTTATAAGGGTTGATCACGAGTCGTTAAACGTAGTTCATACTCTTATATAGGTGCTGATGATTTTTTCCCGTTTTTTTAGTGCCTGGGTTTTCTTTTATTTTCCTCAGCGCGAGTATCAATGCGTGCGCTTTCTCTGACGCTGTGGTCACCCTGGATTAGCAAGCGTTATCAAACCGGTCAATTGGTTCAAATAAAATCAAAAGTTAGACGGGAGTTCGCGCATGTGGCGAAGAGCTAACGCAAATAAAGACAAAAGACTTGTCTATAAAGACAAGGTCATCAGTCCGAATCTGGCCTTACCTGTTCTTTTTGTAAGCGGAAAATTGTCCGCTTATTGAAAAATCTTGGTCGGACTTCTGTTTGTCTGCTTTTTTGTCGGCTTAGTTGCCGCAGAAATGTTCGGATTCTTTTCAGACTAGCAAGCTTGCGAGGTTCAGTGTATTTGTACGAACCTCCTTTTTTCTCACCTAACTAGCAAATAAATGGGTTCAATGAAGGTTCACTTATATGGAAATTTCACTGTAGCATTGGAAGTTGCACAGCATCTCGTCTCTGCTTCAAATGTGGCTAGTGGTTGGCATTAACTAAGCGTCCGTGGTTAGAGCGCGAGACTCTCAATCTCTAGGTCGTAGATTTAAATCCGAGACGTGCCTGAATTTGGGCTAATTCGAGGCTTATTTTATTTATTTTTTCGTTTTGCATTTTATAGAGGTGGTTTTTGTCGTGTTCTGGCTAGTGTCTGCGAAGCGCAGATTCGACTCCATGTTAGCATTTTGAAAGCTGTGATGGTGCAGAAAATTTTGTTTCAGGAGTTTTTGTCCTTCATGAAATGTTAATATTTTTTTGGTGAAAATATAACGATTTTTTGAAGTTTTTTACCCTTGCGATAAGGGTATTGCAATCGGGTTCTTTTTTTCCGTAAACAATTTTGTCCACAGGAAGATCTCCAATTTCAAGATCTCCAGTTTTTGCAGGTTGCACTCTGAACTACATCAGCCGCTAGTCTCTCTGCTGGAAACTGCAACAGACAAAGTTTGGGCATGGTAGCATTTTGAATATCCGTCCTATTCGAAGTTTGCTTTTTAGGGTTGTAATTTTACCAACTTGTTTTTTTTAATTTCCATTTTTTAGCTTTCTTCTTTTTTTTCTCGGTTAAAGAAAATTCGGCCTATAGTATTTCGGCTTATTAGCTTCATATGGCATCCTTTAAAAACCAAAAAAAAATGTGTACGTGTGTGGCAAATTTTTATCAGTTTTTAAGTTTTTTTCTTTCATTTTTGTTTTTTCTTTTTTCTCGGGTTGATAATTTTTGGCCTATTTAATATTGGCTTATTCGCCTCATATTTAAAAAAGTTTTAATGTGTTTTGAGGGGAATGGGGGATAAAAACTTATATTAGTTTTTGAGTTTTTTGAATTTTTTCGGCCTAAGGATTTCGACTTTTTTGACTTTTTTCGACCTCTCAGGTAATTTCGCCTTGTTCACAGCTTGGTAAATTTTCTTATTCTTTTTTTATTTGTTTTTGTCTCTGTGTGACTTATTGAATCTTTTGTTTTCATTAGTTTTGATGGGTTTCGACATTTCTGATTTTTTAATCATTTTTTTTTCTGATTTAGTGGCTGTTTTGTATTGTATCGCAAGTGGTGCGAAGCTCGGCTTCGCCTGTGTTTCAGTTTTTGATTTGTCTTTTCACTTGCTGGTAATCGTAGTCATACATTTTTTATCGCTGAATTGATTTGAAATCCCAGACTTATTCTTAGCTCATTGTGTTATAAGGGTTGATCACGAGTCGTTAAACGTAGTTCATACTCTTATATAGGTGCTGATGATTTTTTCCCGTTTTTTAGTGCCTGGGTTTTCTTTTATTTTCCTCAGCGCGAGTATCAATGCGTGCGCTTTCTCTGACGCTGTGGTCACCCTGGATTAGCAAGCATTATCAAACCGGTCAATTGGTTCAAATAAAATCAAAAGTCAGACGGGAGTTCGCGCATGTGGCGAAGAGCTAACGCAAGTAAAGACAAAAGACTTGTCTATAAA